GGCGGCGCCATAGCCGTAGTTGAAGGACGCCTGCATGTAATTCGCCAATCCGAGCAGAGCACAAAAGTCGGTATCCATCGACCCAAGAATGATTTGGTCGGGGAATTGTCGTTCTTCCGAAATATTCTTTGACCAATGCACCTTGCAACTGAGCGCAAAAGGGAAGTCTGGATGCGGATTGTAGTCTGAATACTTCAACTTGGAGATCTCGTCCGTCCTGGTGATGAGATGGACTTGCTGCTTCATCATGCAGGCTGTACGGATTGTCGATTCAAAGCTCCCGTTGCCATAGAGTTCATGGACCACCCTGCGATACTCAGTTTCCGCCAAATCCCTGGTGGCACAAGACTTCTTGCCGCGGTGCTTGAGTCCATCGCTTTCTTGACTTAACTTCCGTTTGACCACTCTCGTTCACAGAGATTCGCGGACTTGGTTGGATTGCCGGAGGTTCCATTCCATGTGGCACCTTTGATGGGCATGTAGAAGGAGATAGCCTTCTTGTCTTGCTCAAGAGTAGAGGAGCGGCAAGTTGGATTCTGCTCGAGATCTTTGAAGTCAACATCGGTCGTACCATACGCACGCCATTTCAAGTAGTCGGCAACGTGGTGTGGTTGGATGCCGGCCAAAGCACTAGGTTGGAAGCGAGCCGCCTTGGTGTATGTCCTCTTGTGCAGCCAGCTCATGAATTTGACGAAGAGACGATGGTAATCCCGGTTGTACTTGGGCTGCTCCGTGGGTGCTTCAGGCAAATCCGGCACGTCTTCCAACCCAAAGGCTGCTCCAGCATTGGCATTGTTGGCCATGGTGGAGGAATTGTTTGGTCAACTAAGCAATTGTTGGTTTGGTTGAGCTTGAGCTGGAATTTTGGCAGAGTTTCCTTTACAAAGTAGAAGGATTGAAAATAATGAGCTCTGAAATGAAGAACTGAACTGAAGTGTGCTAGCAAGCTACCGGTAGCTAGACGATCGATGCGATCCATCTGACGGGAATTGCACGTTGCTTGCCTCTTTACTTGAGTAAAGGCCAACGACGTACGGTGGCTTGAGTATGCTCGAACGATCGATTGGATTGATTCGTACAGAGAGTATCTTTCCGCAACGGTTGGATCGGAACGATTGGATCTCATTGGATGTGGGATTGATGCGAATCTGCAAGAGGCACCGTATGTTTTGTGGTACTTAAGCGATTATTGGAATCCTCTCAGTATGTGCATCGGCCTCTATTTACCCAGGCACGAGCCTTATGTCTAAATCCTCTCAGTTTATTTAATATTGGGAGTCTTATTGAGAGGATCTTTGTTTCAATGACTGCTGATACCATACCTTTTCTACGTAGCATACTGTCATTGATCCTGAGGGTATGTAAGATCCACTAAGTAGTAGTGTGAAGCACATACTGACACTGTGCAACTACTGTTGCAGAAATGTAGTACCGGTACGGTATGGTACCAGGTACCAGTACCAGGTACGATACGGTACCAAACCGGTAGTGGCCGGGCTACCGTTAAGCTTAGCTTGCAGAGCCGTAATAGCTTCTCCACGCCGCAATTGCTTTTGGTGCTAGTGCTGGAGTTTCCTGGTGCCTCCCGGATTCATGTCATCGGTTTGTCTCCACTTCTATCTACTCAGCCTGCTGGAGAGAGCAGTATCTCCATCGCAGCCTGCTGCAGTTGTCTTCAACTATGTTGAGTACGTAGCGCTATTTACATGAGGAGTTCCTCGCTGCTTAGCTACCATACATAGACTACGGCACCATTTACGTTGATCCCACCTCCAGTTGCTTCTAATCATTTGAACCCCGACTTTTGTCGCGTCGTTGCTTTTCTGTCGTGTCGACTTTATCTATCTTCCCATTTCAAGAACCCTTGGGGGCTTTCTTGCGGTTTCGGCGGCCAAAGACATCTGCCAGCCATTCACAGCAAGGACACTCCAATGGTTCTTCTTCTTCTTTCTTCCCCTTTCCTTTTGCTGTCACTGCGGCAGGGGCGGCACCTGCTGCGACATCAGCCTCTGAAAGGTCCACCTCTTCTTTCCGAACCTGTGCACCATTCTGCTGTGGAGACGGTTTAGTTGGCTTCTCTGGCTTTGGCTTCTCCTCTGGCTTTGCTTTTCCTGTTTTTGCTGGCTCGGACAAAGTCGTAGGGATTGGAGTCTCTGATGCCTCTTTTTTGACAGCTGTGACCTCTTCAGCGGGCTTTGTGGTTGAAACTGCCGCTTCTGCCTCGACTGTGGCTGCAGCCCCGTGTTTACCTGCCTCTTTTGTCTCAATCTGCTCCTCCACAGATGTTCCGACGGGTTCTGGCGAAGCATCGGCATTGGAGCTGGCTGTTTCTGCTGGTTCTTCCGGATGGACGGCGGCCTCTGTTTCCACTCTCTCCCTGCCCTTCTCTATTTCCTCAGCACCTTCTACAGCTCCTGATGTAGTAGTAGCAGTAGTGGGCATTGATGCTGATGTTTCTGCTGGTTTTTCCACATCGGCTGCGTCTTCAGTTTCCACTCGCTCAGGAGTTTCTGACTTTTCGGTAGGTTCTTCGACTTCGTCTGTGTCTTTGGTTTGCAACGGCGCCTCGGCCGTCACTTCTGCCTCACCATCTTCCACTGTCTCGCCCGCTGGTTCGTCCGCGGTGTCTGTGTCTTCGGTTGTCAACGGCGCTTCGGCCGTCACTTCTTCTACGCCCCCCTCCTCTGAAGCAGCGTCGGGATTTCCTGAAGACTCGGGGACAGATGCCGCAGCCTCCACTTTAACGTCCTCGGTGGACTGAGTTCTCCCTTCCTTCTGTTGATCGGTCTCATCGTCAGGTTCTCCTGAAGATTCGGGGACAGATGCTGCAGCTGCAGCTTCAACGTCCCCAGCGGCCTGAGCTTCCGCTTCCTTTTGCTGAGCCATCTCATCTGCATGAACATGCTCCACTGCTTCTTCTCCCACACCAGGATTCGATGCATAACCTACCTCACCATCTGCTTCTTCTTCTGAATCTTCTTCCTCCTCATCTTCTTCAGACTCCGATTCCTCTTCTTCTTCCTCTTGTTCAGCAGCTTCCTCCGGCGTTTGTAAACTTTTCAAGAGAGACGATGCTGCCATGCGTGCGTCGACGACCGACTTCATTGTCCGCTGCCTTGCCACAGCAGAAGCATCCATGTCGCCCTCCTCTGTCTTGTGTTCTTCCTCTTCCGTGTCCTCTGCCACAGTTGAGCTCAAAGCAACCAATGCAGATGTTCCACCACTTAGGATGCCACTGATTTCCTTGTATGAAAGCCCCCCACCACCATCGGTGTCACACTGCTTCATGATTGCATCTCTCATTTTCTCCTTGGGAGGAAGTGTGATCACTCCCTTTACAACACTTCTTGATTCATAGATTGTATCAAGAAACTGTTCCAACTCTTCTGCATCCAGCTCGCCACTGTTGTCCTTATCATAGTTTGCGAAGACCGCACGGTGAAAGAACTCCTCTGATCCTGATGAGTCCAGTACATACTTCTTCCTGAATTGATGGAACTGCTCTGGGGAGAGCTCAGCATCCAGGGCAGCTTGCCCCTCCTTTCCACTGGCCAATTCCATAGCCACTCTTGTAGCAACCTGAATGACAACTTGTGCTGGTTGGTTTAGTTTGACGCTCAGCTTGGCCCACAACTGTGCATTGGAGGAGACAAATTGAGCGATTTCCTCTCTAGAAGCACCACTGCTGTTGTCTTTGTCCATTTGCTGAAACAACGCATCTGATTGCTTGTGATGCACAATAGAGGCGTCCATGGCTTCTTGCCCACCAGTACCATCTTTGTCGTCTTCTTTCTCATCCTCCGAGTCTTCATCGTCGCTGTCATCAACTTTGTCATCTTTATCACTGTTACTACTATCATCATCATCGTCGTCGTCATCATCATCGTCGTCGTCGTCGTCGTCGTCGTCGTCGCCATCATCGTCTTCTTCCTCTTCATCATCAGCAGTCATTCCCAAAGCAACCAAAGCAGCGGTTCCACCACTCAGAACGCCCCTGATTTCTCCAAAAGAAAGCCCTCCACCGCCATCAACATCATAGCGCTTCATGATCAGGTTTCTCATCTTCTTCTTGGGAGGAAGTGTGATTATCCCTTTCACAACACTTCTTGACTCATAGATGGTATCAAGAAACTGGTCCAGTTCCTTTGCATCCAATTCCCCACTGCTGTCTTTATCATAGTTGGCAAACACAGCTCGTTGATAGAACTCCTCTGATCCTGTGGAATCCAGAATATATTTCTTTCTAAATTGATGAAACTGCTCTGGAGTGAGCTCTGCATCCAGAGCTGCTTGTCCTTCTTTTCCACTTGTCAACTCCATGGCCACTCGAGTGGCAACCTGAATTACAACTTCCGGTGGCTGCATGACTTTTCTGCTGAGCTCGGACCACAGCTGGGAGTTGGACGCCACAAACTTGGCAATTTCTTCTTGCGAAGCACTACTGCTCTGGTCGGCATCCATTTCTTGGAACATGGCATCGGACTCCTTGCGGGCCGCATGTTTGTCCTTCTTGACACCTCGAGAAGAAGTGTCCGTGGACATGGTTCGTCTATTCTGGAGCGCGGTTGAAATTTTACTCTACTAGTACTTGATCCCCTTTATCGATAAACTCAGTGGCTCGACCAGCAACCATGGTCACTCATTGGAAACATCCTGGGTCCTCCATCCTTGGGCTTGTCCGAGAATGGTGGTACTCAACATGAGCGATGCCCGCAGACCTTGTGAAAGCACCCGGTGAGGGAGGGTATCTTTCTGCTTGTCCCGTGGGGTTGAGCATAGATTCGCCATTGAGTTCTCGATTGATTCGATTCGATCCGATTCGAATCTGATTCGATTTCGATTATACTCGATTTAATTCGAATACATTCGAATACATTCAATCCGATACGAAACAACCGACCTAAAATCTTAAAAGTGAGAACATATATACATATGAATGGAAGCGCACTGACCTGGTACCCAGTACCGGAGTTTAGCGTAGACTATAGTTGGTTGTAAGCCGTGGAATACTGCTAACGGTACAGCTACTAGCTTCGAAAACGTTTACGATGCAAGATGATGACCAGCGCCGCTGCATCATCCAAAACTACCGGTAGGTACAAAGACGTGAAGATATTAGTTGATCATAGTTGCTGTTCTAGCTAGTTGTTATGAAATATGACCACATCATCAAGAGATCCACTTCGAAGATGATACTGGTGCCCCGCCCAATGGCAAAACCAAAAATGTATGAATGTTTTGACATGAGTCCGGTCACCTTGCCTTGCAAATACGGCCTCCCATGACAGTGCCTCCAGTCGGAACGGAGTACAGGCAGCTTCGATTTCAAAGATTCAAACGCGTGCCGGGTTTTCTCGTACACTTCTACGAGAGCTCGCGTAGAAGTGTACCAGAGAGCTCGGCACGCGTTTGCATGAATAAAATCGAAGCTGCTCGTATATAGCGCTAACTCTCGCCAAGAGACGACCTCCTGGAACTTTTTGCCAACATGGGGTTTTGGGGAATTTTGGAAAGGAAACTTAGCGTCCCGGCCCCTGCTGGATGAAAACGTACCAAAAAAGGCTTTGGAGAGTACCCGCCGAGAGGCTGCGTTTCTTGCTCCACGTCGAAAACGAAGTGTTGGCCGCAGACGACATTGAGTCGTATAGTAAAGGCTGTCGGTTGTCGGTTGTCGGTTGTCTTCGCTTCATCCGGGCTATATCCCTTGATGACGTATTCGAAAGACGCGGTGTATTCTTCCTTGTCTTTGTGGAAGATTTTTTCAGCTTCCTCCTTGAATTCTTTGGTGCCCGTACCACGCCAACGCCGCGGTGATGGCAACACGAAAGGCTTCCAATTCTACTGTGCGATCAAACTCAAAATGGACGGAAGCCATATTGCCGTTGCTCGATATAGATGAGCTTTCTTGCGGTTTTGCCATTCCCGGGGCTAACGCATTAAGCGTAAAAAGATGCTCTACAGCTTCTTTCTTCAAATCAAAAATCTTGGTGGGCTTTCTTGGAGTCGCTGGAGTGACGCCTTCTTCGACATCAAAGTCCTCCAAAACCTCTGCAAGAAAATTTCGAACCACAATTGCGGTAATTTTATGTTTGCATGCGTCCATCACTTCATCTCGTCTATCATTTGACTTCAAAGTCTCGAATATGCTTGCTGCGGTAGTAGCATCAAGTGCTGTGTGCAATGCAGCGAAGCGCGCAAATAGGTACCATACCAGGTACGGTACGACTGAAGGGAGGAGAACAGATCCCCAGACATGAATATCAAGTCAACTTTCTTACGTGGATAGCTTATTCTCTTTCCCTTGCTTTTTCGCCCTTGATTTCCCCCTGTACTTTCCTTCTTGGCGCTCTCCGAACAACTCTTACTCCAAGTTCCATTTCGTGTCGGGTTTTGTCATTGTGCATGTATTGCGAGTAATGTTCGTTCTTTCGTTTGAGACGCTCAACTGCAACCATCATCTTGTTCTGTACCAGCTCTGCTGGCCTCAATGCACCGCATGAGCGTGGTCAGCGTGGAAAGGCGAGAGTTGGATGCATCACGATGAACTCTCAACTCTTTCGTCGGATGCTTCGACTACTGTACCGGTGCCATAATAAAGTTACTGACACCGACGACAGGAATAGGAAGATGTCAACCAACCGAGTTCGTTTCTCACTGCCAGCAGTGGATGATCAAAGGGGAGACGACAATGACGATAGTACCATCGGCACATTCAAAGCATCCAATGTCACCGCTGAAGGGTTGGAAGGAGCTAAACAGCGGGCAAAGGTACGGTTCGGGTGGCTACTTTTGATTATGACTGTTTGAGTTGCGGTGGGCGGTAGTTTTTCGTTTGTCTTCAATTTTTTGTTCTCAAAATCAAAATGGAGGTCAAAATCAAGATGAAAGGTCAATATCAAAATGGGACGCACTGCTCTTGCTTTCCTCATTTTTCTCTTCAAATTATTTCTCTGCATTACGAAAACTCTTGTAAACTCGCAAAATGGATAACAACAACGACGACAATGACAATGGCAACAACGACGCCAAGCAGGAGGTTGACGATTTGCTTGAGAAAATTGCAGATCTCTCCCCAGAACAGCAACAGCAACTTGTCCAAGGTTTGGGAATCGGCGCACTAGTGGACGTGGGAGTGGCCGTGGAAGTCACCGCCAAAAACCAGTCACGGTCATCAAACTTGACCGATTCGATGGCATATTCGGTAAGCAGCAATGATCAAGATGTTGCTGACAACGCTGGCGATGACGAAAATGTTGCTTCGCCACGGCAAGTTCTTCGCCAACTTGAACTTGAACCTGAAGTCGAAAGCCCCCACGCAATCGCCCCTGTGGCTGATGGCGTTGCACGAGAAGTCGAACCCGTCGCGGAAGCAGATGATGGCTCCCTTGGCCAGCTGCATATGGAAGAACTTGATCTGGCTACCACGGCCAGTGAGCGCGGCGTAACAGATATTCGGAATATACAATACCCCGATGGCGACTTGGCTCCCGGCGGAGACGATCTAAATGATGCCGTTGCCGGGGTCGAACACGATAACGACAGTGATGATAATGATGGAGCTTTGGAAGAAAGCGAACAGGAAGAGAATATTGACGAAGCGGACTAGCTAGGGCACGAGAAAGCGCAAAAGGTTGCCTTTGCACTCACGGAGCCCTGCATCATGCATTATTGACAACGGCGGTGAATCTGCATCGCAATCGGGGAAGTAATTCATGAAAACCACTACTATCGCTTGACTGAGCAAACCTTCCTTTTTTGAACAGGCGAAATAAAGAACTCTGAATCCTCTATGCATAATGACTAGAACAAGCAGGCAGGCCGAGGCTGATGCCCTCAACTGTCAAAAAGAGATTTGATTGGTCAAATCATTTACCGTGTTCAACTGGACACACTATTGATAGCAAGTCTCCATAGCACATTGGGTTGAGAGGGGCTTGGATTCTGTCACTAACAAATAACACGGTGGAAAGTCGGCCCGCCTTACTCTGAGTTTTGAATGGCTATTTAAATTGATAAATGACATTTACTCAACTTGATTCTAGGGCAGTGCACCCGACTATTAAAGGACAAGATGAAGCAGAACACGGAATACGAAGACGTCCTGTTTAGATGCGACCCAACTGGAGTACGAAAAATGATCCAAAGTACGATCATGGCCCATACCGTATGATAATTTTGTGTACCACACAATTATTCCATCTGGAAAAACAACTGTTGAATTTCCACAAGGGAGCCTTACCGCTTCCGAATACTACGAGCAATTTACACCGAAAAAAGGACATTGACAAAATCCGTGGTATTTCCAAGTACACGATAGCAGCCTGCTGCATACGGCGAAACTATACTCCACCCAAACACAGCATACGCTGACCTAGGAGATCGATAGACCAAGAAGAAAGTCTCGGAATACGGCTGAAAACGGTACTATAGTTTATATCTTCTTAACAAATGTTCAGCCGAAAATACCAAGCTTAAACAAAACCTGAGGGACGAACTTTGCCAAAGGCACTGATAACTATCCCACACGTTACATGAGGTATTACACCTTTGTGACAACACACCAAGATAACATCTCCACGACAGTCCACTTCCACGGAAGCTCTTTGCTCAGACAGCACAAGCGGGAGAGGACGGGGTGTGGCAGAGGAAAAGCCGTACGGAAACGGAATGCTTTATGATAAAGATACTGGAGAAGAGAAAGAATGCCTTTCCTGCCACGATAAGGACATCCAGCCCGCACTGTTCTGACAAAGATAAAGAAAAGTAAAGACAAAGACGACGATGACAAGTCTATGGAGTAGAGCAAGCGTAGCAAGATCAAGCACGTCAGCAAGAAAAGATCTAGTAGCGTTCAAAGGAGAACCCTAAGCTACTATCAGCAAACTGCAAGATTAAAATGACGACAGCATTGACAACCCTGGAGAGAAGGATGATGCTCGACTCTGACATCAGCATTCAGATGAAGAGAAAGTCGGAAAAGGTTTCGTTACGTTCGAATGTACCGCTGTTCGCGGACGGATCGAGACGGAAACGAAGAAACCGACTCAACAAGACATAGTCGCCACTACAAAAAGGTTTGGACGACATAGATATGAAGAGGATCCAGCTACTGGAAAACCAGTCCACGTTGGACTCTATTCTGTAATATAGACATGGTTACCGACATCAGGAAAGCGCGATCGTCAATACAGTGAAGAGTACCGGAGGCAAGCTGAAGGTCCAGCACACAGCAAGTAGCTGGCCAAAACAGAGAGTATGGTTCGATAGCAAGAGGAATCACGAACATCATATCTGTGTAGAATGTCCGCAAGAATTGCAACATTCGTCTAGACTGTCCGAAAGGAACCTACACAGTCATTAGACCATGCCTACCGGACGTAGTATAGGAAATGAAAGTGAAGGATTAACGTTCATGACACCTAGGAAAAAGGGAAGGAACTTGTGAGATACTGTCTCCGAAAATAAAGAGGCTTCAGCAAACGACAATTTAAAGCCGAATCAAGGGCGAAGCTGCTATATAAGCAACTCGTTCTATCCATCGATTAAAGATTTTCGATGGGCGATTATGACGCAATCAAATCGCAAATTGCCCAGTGACCGTTGAAGACATCGAAACGGCACAAGCCATATGCGGGTGAAGGATATTGATGGTTGAAAGGCAAGACACTCGTACGAAACCGAACTCAGTGGTCAGGCAATGCAAATGAAAGTGCCGGGAAGGAGAACTTTTTTTGCCAATTACACAAGGATGTGTTCCTAACGATGGACATTTTCTTTGTGCCAGGAATTCCAGTTCCTGTTAACGCTAAGCCGTAAAATCGTTTTTACAACATCTAGACACTGCCCAACAGGAAGCTAGAGCACATCCTAGACGCAGTCCAGGAGTGTCTATCGATTCTACAAGGCTCGTGGTTTTAGAATCACACCATTCATGTGGACAATGAGGTTTGAGCCTCTGTCCACACACAATCATGGCAATGCCGGGTGGACCGGTAGTGAACATTGCCAGGTGCTAACGAGCACGTACCGAGATCGAACGTAGAATCCGGGTAATTCAAGGAAAGGACACGAGCTGTCCGCCATAGCCTACACGTTTACACGCATGCCAAAAATATTAACGTCAACTTGGTTTTAAAGTCGTCAATACAGTTGACGTACTTCTCCAAGTAAGGCGGGGGTAAGCGACGACAATGAGCCCCCGCATGATAATGATGGAGAGTTCCCTGGATATAAAAAGAACCTGAGACATGCAGTTGGAGATATACTGCCAGGTGAACGAGGAAGAATCGCCCCGTACACAGCATGGTAGGAAGCAACAAAGGCGGCCATCTGTATTGGAACGAGCGGAAATAAGCAAGGAGGCCACAAATTTATGAGACCTCCGCTCCGGCAAGAAAATTACTCAGCATTCATGGGACAAAGATCCCAATGCCCGACACAGTTGATAGCTAGAGTCAACTATTAGGAAAAGATCAGCTTAAACACTCGTTTTACTGATCGAAAAATATAGACCCATTGTGATGTCAAGATCACAGGAGTGGAACGGGAAGAAAGCAATGACGAACGCCCCACTACCAATGATCCAACACGATGAGGACCTGGACGCGGATGCTGAAACCATTGACGAAATTGAAGATGATCCCGACGATCCACCAGGACAAACGTCAACGACGACGAAGCCGAATCGATAGTCAACGACCGAATGAAAAGCGTTGAACACGAAACATCGAACGAACCGTTGTACACCAACCTATCGTTGAAAGGTAGAAGAACGGAACCTACACGGACCAACAGCCCATGGAACAGATCCCCAGGAGTGGAGTGCTGAAACCCAAGCGCACCTGAGCAACGCCAGGGGTGCGCAGGTCTAGTAGAGTGAGGACACAAGCAAAGGAACGTGATATTCCAGACTTTGACTGAAAGAAGTATGAGACGACAAAGTCCATACACAACTGAACGTGTCTTGCAACCAGATGCACACATGTTCTACACATAGGTAGAAGAAGAACCTGTTGTGGTAGCAGCCATCATACACAGTTGTCATTGAAGGTCTGGACTACAAGGAGTGGAAGGACAAAGCGCGCGATGCAGCCTTTGCCGAGATGAAACAGTTAATCTCAGGGATCACCTTCCGTCCGAAGAAAATGGAAAACTCAGACGATATGGAACGCAAGAGTATCCTAGAGTCACACCTGTTCCTCTAAAGTTGAAAAGGAACGGGCAAGATAAAGGCCGAGCTGTATGCCGGAGGCAACAAACAGTGTGACTTCATCTTCCAAGGAAGACGCAAGCTCGCAACAGTGAAGAAGCAGTGCTATATCCTGCATAATGGACGATGAAGAGGAAAGGGATGTGGCAGTAATTGACATCCCAACGCCTTATCCAACAAGAGTCGAGGATGAAAAAGATATGGTAACCATTAGAGTAAAAGGAGTACTAGTATACATGCTGTGTGAAATAGCCCCAGATGTCTACAAACCGTTCGACACAACGGATAAGAAAGGCAAACAGCAGTTGCTACTGCAATGCTCTTGATGCCATCTTACGGCACTATGGTAGCTAGCAATGCTACTATACTACGTAAGTTCCGGAAGACGATGGTCCGGATCGGATTTAAGATTAATCCTACGACCCATGTGTAACCAACAGAATGTAACGCCAAGCAACAAACAGTCTGCCGCATGTAGTACGACTGTAAGCTTAGCCCAAGGACTCGAAGGTTAACTGACCAGCTGATCCAAGTGCTTCGTGATGAATCACGAAAGCATATTCGAGGACGGCACTGAGAGATGACGGTGAGCCGAGGAAAGGTCCACACGTATTTGGCATGACCATAGACTTCACGACAAAGGGTCAATGCAACGTATCAATGTACAAGTTCGTTGATGAAATCCTGGAAGCCTTCGAGAAGGCATCGCAGAGGAAGGGGGCACGAAACTAGAAGTAGTGCAGCCCGAAAGACCTATTCACAGTAGACGAATCCTGCAAGAAGCTCCAACGAGCAAAGGCAGACACCTTTCACAGCCTGGTGCTAAGGTGTTATTTGCTAGAAGAGAGCCCGACAGACACAGGTACGGCGATATCGTGTCCTTACGACTAGAGTCAAGGAACCAGATAGCACGATTGGGATAAAATAGTCCACCATCATGCAGTACATTAGACGTACTAGAAAAATACCATTAGTTCTCAAAGCCGACGGAAGTGGCATATTGAAATGTTATGTTGATGGTTCTTTCCAGTCCACCAAACATGAGGGTCAACCGGAGGTGGTTTGACCATGGGCACCGTTACCCATTATCGACTTGACGAAACAGAAGTGAACACGAGAAGCTAAACTGAGAGTGAACTCGTAGCAGTTGGTGACCTGATGCCATCGATCCTTTTGGACGAGGCAGTTCCTCGGGAGCAAGGTATGTAGTTAAAGAAACTATAGTCTATCAGGACAACAAGAGTGCCCTTCTTCTAGAGAAGAACGGCAAGCTTCTATAGTAGTAAAGCGAACGAAGCACATCAACATTAGTGTACTTCTTTGTGACGACAGAGTCGCAAAGAAAGAGATCAGTGTGGACTGTGTGTCCAACTGATGATATGTGCGGACTTCTGGAC